CTATGTAACTACTTATATAAACTACTCAATAAAGATACGAGCAAGGCCTCACCTTAATACCAAAAAAAAAAAAAAAACACTATACTTATGTCTAGTTCTCAATAAATTTGAATCGCTATTGACGCTAAACAAGTAATTCTATTGAAGCCATTCTCCTATACAATAACTTAATAATATTCTCTAAATGGTTTCATTAAGGTACTAATTCAAAAAAAAAGTAATAATAAATCATATTATATATTAGCATAAGTAATATTACTATAATAGTACATATTAAATAAATTTATCAAAACTCTTAAAGTGTATTTATAAACTTACCATATTTATATCGACAAGAATCTTTTAAACCTACTGGTTGTATTAAAAAGACAATAAATTAAACATTGTTAGCAAATATGTTTATCTATTGAGAATATTCAAGCATATCCATACTTCCTATATTTATATAAACAAGAAGTTTGTATAACCATATTTGAAGTATAGAACTAATTCAAAAAGAAAAAATAATAATGATTCATATTATAATAGCATAAGTAACGTTTCTATAACAGTATTGAATAGATTTATCAAAACTCTTAGAGTATATCTATAAACTTATCATATTTATATTGACAAGAATCTCTTAAATGTACTAGTTATATTAAAAAGACAATAAATTTAACATTGTTAACAAATATGTTTATTTATTAAGAATATTACAAGCATATCCATACTTCCTATATTTATATCAACAAGAAATTCATATGATCATATTTGAAGTATGATACTAATTTAAAAAAAAATAATAATAATGATTCATATTATATTAGCATAAGTAATATTTCTATACAGTATTGAATAGATTTATCAAAATACATATCAAAAACGTGCTAGTCATATTTTTTTTAAAAAAAGCAAAACTTAGGGCTAATCCTAAAATAACAATAAATTTAATATTGTTAGCATATATAATTTTGAATAGATCTATTGAGAATATTAAAAGTGTATTCATACTTCTCATATTTATATTAACAAGGATTACTTAATATAGCGTACTACTATATTTGAAAGTTAAATTCTAGTAAAAGACAATTAATATTTTAAGTTAGATTCTAGCTCATGTATTATAGACAAAACATGTGTATTTTCACTTGTAAAAATCATTGAATATTAGACCATGTTATATAAATACACAATTTATCTTCAAAATTATCTAATAAATTTTGAATCCTTCATAAATAAATTTGTAAAATAAATTCATTTCATTTATATTCGTATATCTCTATTCAGTGTAATCAAAAATAACTTACTAAAAAAAAATAAGAATTAACAAGTAGAAAGTAAAAACTCTTTTATTTCTGTATTTGCAAGTTTTTTATCTTAAATCTAGTTATCAATTTATAATTACAAACCAAATGGTTAAAATTCGAGAGGCGCTAGCTCAGTCTAAGCTCAAAGACACAATTTTTCAATTAAATCAGAAGTTACAGTGTCTTGAAGTATTAGAAAATAGAGGAATGATATCTGATATTGATAAAGAAAAAAAAGCAAGTATTCAAAATGAACTTGCATTATCATTAAAAGCTTTAAATAAATTAAAATACCACTAATAGTCTCAACAGAAGTATAGATCTCAGAAAAGGCAAAAGCTTTAGCAGATGGAAAAGTAGCTTAAAGAAGTGGGTTTAAATACACAGCTTGTTAGGCCAATAGTTGGTTGTCCAAGTTTAGAAGAAGCATAGCCAGGTTTATTGGAAGCTATTGTTCAAATTGTTTCTTTAGATGGACAGGCTGATGAAAGACAGCATTTAGAATTAATATGATCTGTCAAGATCTTAGACCAGCTCCAAGAAGTATTAATAAATATGAACTATAAACTGTTATGCTTTGTGACATATCTTAGGCTAATTTCAAGACAGCATAATAGTGAAAAAGGAAAGCGATACATTAAAACAGTGTCAGTGAAGCTTCTAAAGTCTCAAAATTCAGCAAGAAGAAGCCATGATGATACTCATTTTTGCACTGCTTTAATAAGAAATATAAAAGAAATAGTGTCATTATTAGGTCCCAAAAGTGCTTTAGTAATATCTCAAGATGATAAAGCATGAATACCTTTTGGTTTAGCTATGGCCAACAAACAAGGTTACTATAATTTAAAATAAAATAGAATTACTATTTAATATATAATAAATAAAAAGATAAAACTTACTAATAATAATTAATTAATTCATATAGCACTAATTCTTATGAAGTTGGAATACCAAGTAGAACTGCCAGATCATGATTGGGTTGTTGCTGAAAGGCATAAACTGATCTCTTCAGATTATGCAGTATTAGATGAACAAGAAGATAAATATGAACAAGCTGAAGCAATAACGTACTCAGGTCTAATATTTATAAAAATTCATAGTGGTAAACATGATAGTAGTATCGCTTACTCTTATGGCAAAGACTTTAATGACTAATAGCTAAGGAGAAATTACACAACTTTACTATAATGGATAGCCAGCCTAAACCCATGGTGGTAATGATAAGTGATGGTAAACCCAATGAGAATCCATGCTATAGAAAAACAGTTCAGATGATAGTAAATCACTTTATTAAGTATAATCTTGATACTATCATCATGGCATGCTATACACCACACCAGAGTATATCCAATTCAGTAGAAAGATGAATAGTGCTCTTAAGCCATAACTTAGCTAGTATAATCCTCCTATATAATACCTTTGAATCACATTTGGATACACAGCTAAAGACAAGTAATGAGGAATTGGAAAAACACAATTTCAAAGTGGCCGGAGATGTTTTGATATCAGTGTGAGAAGATACAATTATCGATGGTTATCCAGTACTTGTTAAGTATATAGAACCTTTTGAAGAATCCCACTGCTTAAATAAAAAATCAGCAGCTTGGATAGAAAAACATGTAATAACTTGTCGTTATATGACTCAAGTCATAAAGTGTGATGATCCAAGCTGCTATAAACCTTTTCGTAGCAAAATTAAACAGGTCCTTCCAAATCACTTTTTCCTACCACCACTTCTGCTCCAACAGAAGCTTCATAGTATTTGCACAGCAAACATGGGCATATCTGATAATACAACTCACTTTGGCAGCTTTCTTCTCTCTGTATTAATGGAAGGAAAGTTAACTTCTCCAGACGCAAATCTATATTATTTCTCCTTCGATTGGTATTGCCCAACTATCAATAAATCAATTAATAAATACCTCTGTTCTTATTGTAATCAATATTATGCTTAAAAGGATCTTTGAAAATCTATACTAAAAAATATAAAAAATCTAACTTAACTAAAGAATCTGTTTTGGATATTTAAGATTACGAAAGTAGTGAATCTATGCAGATAGATGAGGAAATAGTACTGGAAGATTTGTTAGAAACCTATCTTCAGAAAGTGCAAGTTCATGAAAAGTTGATCGTGGATAGAGTATTAATAGTTAACTGGAATACTTGAAAGAAATGTAAGTAGGCAAATGAATAATTACTTAATTATATATATATGTATGTACAAGATTAATACGTAATATTGTAATATTGTTCCTGTTATATTAAATTCATGTATTTTGACTTTTTAGAATGACTTTTGTTTTATGTGTTATATAGTTATTGTAACAAATAATATAGATCAATTTTTAAAATACTATTTATACATATATGTGCTATATAATTCATATATCCTCTGACAATAATTTCTAAAATGATTTTTGTGTTTTATGTATTATAATAGTCTTTAACCTAGTTCATAGTACCAGGCTTTAACATTATTAAATAAAAAATTGAATAAAATAAATATTTTTAATTTAATTTAAAAACTTTAATAGTTTTTAATTATATTTATCAGCAAAGTGCAATTAAACATTTTATAAAAACAACTTTATTAAAAACAATATAACTTGTATTGCTTTGCTAATGCTCAGCAATACCAACTAAGCTTGCTTCGCTTACTTAGTAGTTGCTTGCTACAGCTAATATCTCCACACCACTCCTGTTACCTAATGCTAATACTAACTCTAACTTTAACCCTAACCCTAACCCTAACAAATTTTAGATTTAATTTTATTTTTAATCTTAATCTAACTAATCTTAGTTTTAATTTTATTTTTAATCTTAGTTTTAATTATTTTTTTTTCGGTATTAAGATGACCTCCTTGGCCTGGGGACTTTTTATTAGTAATTATTAGTTATTACAGTTACAAT